AACATCTTATCTCCCTGATAAACCCCATCAAATAACTACACGAATACCACCTGGTGGTTCACACTTACACTCACTCACCCATTTGACCATAAACAGAAATATTAATCTCAATCGTAAAATAATGAATCCTATGATACTCCAATACTGAAACTATGTACTGTGCCAAAACAAAAGCATTCACATTGCTAAACTCACAAACTAGTATTTAGTCACTTAGCCATAATACCAACTTACCTCATAATTTGTAATATTTTAAAATAATGAATTAAATTAAGTCTGCCCGAAATGCCTAGCCATGCTAGGCGTTCTAGTGGTACACTCTGTAATCATTATTTAACTACATGTAAACCACACAACAACCAAATTCTGTAAATTCAACATTGTAATCTTTATAGAGAATAAACTTTCAATGTACGGCTAGAAGAATGTGTGACAGGGTTATGTGCAGTGAGAGAAAGTGGGCTGTTGCTCAAATGGGGGGGAAGAGGGGGGGTAAGGAGTGTCGGAGAGACTGAATTTGCAACTTGATAGTGTCTCTTGTATACACCTTGTTTTGCACATTGACTTTTGTGCAGTGAATAGGTTGTGATATGGAAATAAGTCACTCTGTCTGACTTTTTTGGGTTATCCTAGGTTCTCTACACATATGCTGCTATGTATGATAATTCTATGTAACTGTATTTGTGTATACCTGAATAAACTTACTTACTTATGTGTTTGCATTAGGTTATGGAAGCCAGTGCTGTGAACTTGATTTTGTTGATATATCATGTAAAGTGAAGGCTATCAATGTATTTACCTGGAGTTTACCTGGAGAGAGTTTCGGGGGTCAACGCCCCCGCGGCCCGGTCTGTGACCAGGCCTCCTGGTGGATCAGCCCCTGATCAACCAGGCTGTTGCTGCTGGCTGCACGCAAACCAACGTACGAGCCACAGCCCGGCTGATCAGGAACTGACTTTAGGTGCTTGTCCAGTGCCAGCTTGAAGACTGCCAGGGGTCTGTTGGTAATCCCCCTTATGTGTGCTGGGAGGCAGTTGAACAGTCTCGGGCCCCTGACACTTATTGTATGGTCTCTTAACTGCCAGGGGTCTGTTGGTAATCCCCCTTATGTGTGCTGGGAGGCAGTTGAACAGTCTCGGGCCCCTGACACTTATTGTATGGTCTCTTAACGTGCTAGTGACACCCCTGCTTTTCATTGGGGGGATGGTGCATCGTCTGCCAAGTCTTTTGCTTTCGTAGTGAGTGATTTTCGTGTGCAAGTTCGGTACTAGTCCTTCTAGGATTTTCCAGGTGTATATAATCATGTATCTCTCCCTCCTGCGTTCCAGGGAATACAGGTTTAGAAACCTCAAGCGCTCCCAGTAATTGAGGTGTTTTACTTCCTTTATGCGCGCTGTGAAAGTTCTCTGTACATTTTCTAGGTCGGCAATTTCACCTGCCTTGAAAGGTGCTGTTAGAGTGCAGCAATATTCCAGCCTAGATAGAACAAGTGACCTGAAGAGTGTCATCATGGGCTTGGCCTCCCTAGTTTTGAAGGTTCTCATTATCCATCCTGTCATTTTTCTAGCAGATGCGATTGATACAATGTTATGGTCCTTGAAGGTGAGATCCTCCGACATAATCACTCCCAAGTCTTTGACGTTGGTGTTTCGCTCTATTTTGTGGCCAGCATTTGTTTTGTACTCTGATGAAGATTTAATTTCCTCATGTTTACCATATCTGAGTAATTAAAATTTCTCATCGTTGAACTTCATATTGTTTTCCGCAGCCCACTGAAAGATTTGGTTGATGTCCGCCTGGAGCCTTGCAGTGTCTGCAATGGAAGACACTGTCATGCAGATTCGGGTGTCATCTGCAAAGGAAGACACGGTGCTGTGGCTGACATCCTTGTCTATGTCGGATATGAGGATGAGGAACAAGATGGTATGTGTACAACAATATGATAATTTAGTAATTGTGGCCAGTGTATTTGGCGGAGGTGTGTGTACCTCAGGCGGAGGTGTGTGTACCTCAGGCGGAGGTGTGTGTACCTCAGGCGGAGGTGTGTGTACCTCAGGCGGAGGTGTGTGTACCTCAGGAGGAGGTGTGTGTACCTCAGGCAGAGGTGTGTGTACCTCAGGCGGAGGTGTGTGTACCTCAGGCGGAGGTGTGTGTACCTCAGGCGGGGTGTGTGTACCTTAGGCGGAGGTGTGTGTACTCAGGCGGAGGTGTGTGTTACCTCAGGCGGGCGTTGTGTGTACTCAGGCGGAGGTGTGTGTACCTCAGGCGGAGGTTGTACCTCAGCAGAGGTGTGTGTACCTCAGGAGAGTGTGTGTACCTCAGGCGGAGGTGTGTGTACCTCAGGCGGAGGTGTGTGTACCTCAGGCGGAGGTGTGTGTACCTCAGGCGGGGGTGTGTGTACCTTAGGCGGAGGTGTGTGTACCTCAGGCGGAGGTGTGTGTACTCTAGGCGGAGGTGTGTGTACCTCAGGCGGAGGTGTGTGTACCTCAGGCGGAGGTGTGTGTACCTCAGGCGGAGGTGTGTGTACCTCAGGCGGGGGTGTGTGTACCTCAGGCGGAGGTGTGTGTACCTCAGGCGGAGTGTGTGTACCTCAGGCGGGGGTGTGTGTACCTCAGGCGGGGGTGTGTACCTCAGGCGGAGGTGTGTGTACCTCAGGCGGAGGTGTGTGTACCTCAGGCGGAGGTGTGTGTACCTCAGGCGGGGTGTGTGTACCTCAGGTGGAGGTGTGTGACCTTAGGCGGAGGTGTGTGTACCTCAGGCGGAGGGGTGTGTACCTCAGGCGGGGGTGTGTGTACCTCAGGCGGAGGTGTGTGTACCTCAGGCGGGGGTTTTGGTACCTCAGGCGGAGGTGTGTGTACCTCAGGCGGAGGTGTGTGTACCTCAGGCGGAGGTGTGTGTACCTCAGGCGGGGGTGTGTGTACCTCAGGCGGAGGTGTGTGTACCTCAGGCGGGGGTGTGTGTACCTCAGGCGGAGGGGTGTGTACCTCGGCGGAGGTGTGTGTCCTCAGGGGGGGTGTGTGTACCCCAGGCGGGGGTGTGTGAACCTCAGGGGGAGGTTTTGTGTACCTCAGGCGGGGGTGTGTGTACTCAGGCGGGGTGTGTGTACCTCAGGCGGAGGTGTGTGTACCTCAGGCGGAGGTGTGTGTACCTCAGGCGGGGGTGTGTGTACCTCAGGCGGAGGTGTGTGTACCTCAGGCGGATACAGATTTAGTTAGTTAAAGATTAGCCGGTATTCTCCCGGCCCGGGCCTTGTCCAAGTGGTGGCCCGGCCTTGGCTCCCTCTTTAGGGAGTGTCTGAGACCTAAGTCTCCCATGGGAGGAGGCACAAGTACCTCCTCATCTTTGGGACCAACTGTCCCCAGGCCTAGCCACAAGCTAGGCCTCTCTGGTCTGCCATCCCCGCCCCAAGGGGGCAAATGGGAATGACAGTCTTATGAGCTAAAGGCTCGGGCTCAGGCACCTACCCTACCCTAGAAGGGTTAGGCATGGTGTCGATGGGATACAGATACTTCTGTATGACTTACTCCCAAGAAAGGTTTTTTTTTATTAGGAACGTGAGTTTCTTTTACAATAATATATATTTGTGATGTTTTTTGTACTTACACCTTCATGAGTATGGTGTGATAATTTCAAGTGTTTTTCTTATATATACTGATAGGTGGCTTGAGTGATGTATAGTGTGATTGATGGTCTTTCTTTTTTGTTTTGTCTGTGACGGGTTTCTTCTTCTGTGTCCAACAACGTGTACGTGTGTGATAATTATATATATACTTATTGTTCTCCACAGTGTTATACTATATATATGTATTATGTCTATACAAGATATGCTCTCAATAAAATATAAAAAAATTAATTTATCTTTATCTACATAGTTAACAAATCACTTTCTACTACCACAAAATATCATCACTCACTGTTACTCCCCTAGCCTTAGGACCCCATAAATAAATGCTCAAAGATCAATAAATTCTCATATCTAATCTAATGCAAATATTGAATAACTTATATTTCATAAATGTATAACCTAGTTGTATAATTAGAGAAACCTTACCAAACTATGTTATTATAGTATTACCTAATAGAATAATCCATTCTTTTGAATGCACTGTAACTCATCTAATGACCATATGAACTGTTACTGCACTACAGATCATTGATTTGATTTGATTAGATCTGATTAATAAACTGTACGACTGGACAAGTCTGGATCTGGACTTGTCCAGATCCAGACTTGTCCAGTTGTACACATATAATAAATTGATCATTTTGTTATATTATTCACTGTTATGTTACAAATTGTAAAACTATAATACTTCAAAGTTGAAATGTTCAAATTTCATTATTTCAAATACTCAATTGTACTTCATATTGTAACTGTTACCATTAAATCTATTATAGCTTAGTTAATCTTAAGTTAATTTGAAGCCTGCCTATAATACTCTGCATACAAGGGACTTTTGACATGTACACCCAACTGCTATAATACCTTGTACAACTATATCTCCCCTTAAGGAAGGTTCCTTGATGTTGGTGAGGGGCTCTTGATTTAGGGAATTGGATCTGTGCTCCAGTTCCCCGAATTAAGCCTGAATGCCTTCCACATCCCCCCCCAGGCGCTGTATAATCCTCCGGGTTTAGCGCTTCCCCCTTGATTATAATAATAATAATAATTGTACAACTATATATAATGCCCTAATAAACTATTATTATTATTAACTACTAAAAAAGATGACAATGTGAATGGAGGAACCCACCTGGGACATGGAATATATTAATTAAGTCCCCATCAAAGGCACAGCATAACTTCACACTTCGGATATATCTAATTATATAAAAATGATTTTAAAAACAGATATCAACATAATATAAAAGTATCATACACGTACTCGTTGAATATGAAACAGAAGGTTAAATAAAAAAAATCGTATGTGTTTTTAGGTGTGTATTGTTTATATTGTTGGTAAGTGATAGAGAAGATAATATGATAGCGTCGTAGTTTACTAGAAGTTTCTCAGGTGGTGCAACATCAACCTCACAGTCTTCTACAAGGTTAAAAGTTCCAGTAATATTATTCATGAGGTGCTGTAGCTCGAATGTTAAATATTTAATATTTGTTGAGCAATGTAGCGTAACGAGAATAAAAGCAGCATTGATACGTTAATAAGAGCAATTTATATGAGTGTTGTGTCACTGAGGAGAATGTTAGTGGTGGTGGGTCGCGTTCGGGCGCGCTAGCGTGATGTGTCTGACTGACGGCCCAGGGCTCCACCAAGAAGCAGCTCAGGGCACTTCTTCACCGCTGGTGTGAGCGTCACTGCTCCTGCTAGGCCCTAGCACACACCAAGATGACCCGTGAGTATCCCTGCATGGTTGTAACATAAGTGCACGTAGTTAAACTGAATCAAAATATGGTTATAATAGTGATAAGAGAGAGTGTAGCCCCAGGCATGTCTCCTCACCCTACTGACACACCTAACTGCTTATATCCTACTTTCCCTTCTCTTACTACTTTTATTTCCTTTTTTTTTTAGTGGGATTTATAAGCTTAAGCTTGCATATGTAATTACAGCGTCTAGTACTCATTTGTGATTTTTTTTTTTTTAGTTCAAGTACAACGTGTCAGCAAGTACAGTAATGTTTATGTTCTACGCATCCACATATGATGGATTTGTTTGTTTGTTATATAGCTCACTCCCTAATCTTACGGGTTTAGCGCTCCTCCATGTTTATAATAATAATAGGCCACTCCCACATTAATATAATTACACATTACTGACATGGTATGGACCCCAGGATATCCATAATCTGTCGTAGATAACAATATGAATAATTAAGTTGTATTAAGGAAGGTCACCTAAATTTTAGTAAAAAGCCATTAATGACTAAGTTTCTCATTGCTTAGACTGACATGTTGATGTAAACAAGGATGTGTACATTGTGCCGGTGTGTCTTCTGTGTACTCGCCTAATTGTGGTTGCAGGGGTCGAGACTCGGCTCCTGGCCCCGCCTCTTCACTGAGCGCTACTAGGTCGTCCTCTCTCCTTGCTCCATGAGCTTTATTATACCTCGTCTTAAAGCTATGTATGGTTCCTGCCTCCACTACATCACTTGCTAAGCTATTCCACTTCCTGATAACTCTGACTGAAGAAATACTACCTAACATCACTTTGACTTATCTGAGTCTTCAACTTCCAATTGTGACCCCTTGTTTGTGTGTCCAAATCTGGAACATCCCGTCTTTCTACCTTGTCTATTCCTCGCAGTATTTTGTATGTCATTATCATGTCTCCCCTGACCCTCCTGTCCTCCAGTGTCATCAGGCCGATTGCGGTGCACGCGCGCATGCGCGTACGTATACTCGCCTAGTTGTTGCAGGGGTCGATTCATAGCTCCTGGCCCTGCCTCTTCACTGGCCGCTACTGGATCGCTCCCTGCACAATGAGCTTTATCATACCTCTGCTTATGCTGTGTGTATACGTACATATGTGTGTACTCGCCTAATTATACTTGCCTCCACTACATCATTTGCCATGCTATTCCACTTCCTGACAACTCTGACTGAAGAAATACTTCTTAACATCACTTTGGCTCATCTGAGTCTTCAACTTACAATTGTGACCCCTTGTTTCTGTGTCCCCTCTCTCGAACATCCTGTCTGTCCACCTTATCAATTCCATGTAGTATTTTGTATGTTATCATGTCTCCTGTGACCCTCCTGTCCTCCAGTGTCGTGAGGCCGATTTCCCTGATTTCCCTCAACCTTTCTTTGTAGGACATTCCCCTGAGCTCCGGAAATAGCCTTGTTGCAAACCTTTGTACTTTCTCTAATTTCTTGACGTGCTTAATCAGGTGTGGGTTCCAAACTGGTGCTGCATACTCAAGTATGGGCCTGACAATCACAGTGTACAGTGTCTTGAACCATTCCTTACTGAGGTATCAGAATGCTATTCTCAGGTTTGCCAGGCACCCATATGCTGCAGTAGTTATCTGGTTGATGTGTGCCTCCGGAGATGTGCTCGGTGTTATGGTCACCCCAAGATCTTTCTACTTGAGTAAGGTTTGCAGTCTCTGGCTGCCTAGCCTATACTCTGTCTGCGGTCTTCTTTGCCGTTCCCCAATCTTCATGACTTTGCATTTGGGAGAGTTGAATTCAAGGAGCCAGTTGCTGGACCAGGTGTCCAGCCTGTCCAGGTCTCTTTGAAGTCCTGCCTGATCCTCATCTGATTTAATTCTCCTCATTAACTTCACATCTGCAAACAAGGACACTTTAGAGTCTATCCCTTCCAGCATGTCATTCACCTATATCAAAAATAGAACTGGTCCTGGGACTGACCCCTGTGGGATCCCACTCGTCACAGGCGCCCACTGTGATACCGCTTCACGTACCATGACTTGTTGCTCCCTGTCAGGTATTCTCGGATTCATTGCAGTGCCCTTCATGTTATACGTGCCTGATCCTCCAGCTTCTGCACTAATCTCATGTGAGGAACTGGTGAAGGCCTTCCTGCAGTCCAGGAAAATGCAATCAACCCACTCCCCTCTCTCATGTCTTACTCCTGTTAACTTGTCATAGAACTCCAGAAGGTTTGTGACACAGGATTTGCCTTCCATGCATCCTTGCTGGTTGTCGTTTATAATCTTGTTCCGTTCCAGGTGCTCCATCACGTATGTGTGTACATGTGTGTACGTGTACGTGTGTACGTGTACGTGTGTGTACGTGTATGTGTACGTGTAGTAGGGGTTATTTCGGTGTACTGTAATGTGGTTAGTGTATGTGTACGGATGTTTTGTAGTGCTTAAAGGGTTTGTATGTGACACGGTGTACGTGTAGTACGTGTGTTACGTGTGTGTGTATCGCCTAATTGTGGTTGCGGGGGTAGACCAGCTCCTGGCCTTCCCCCACTGACCCTAGGGGGGGTTCCTCCCTCCCCTACTCCTTGAGATTTATATCCCCTTGTCTGAAAACTATGTTTTCCTGCCCCACTAAAAAAAGCCAAATTATTCCACTTCCAAAATCGTTGGTTAAAAAACTTCCTATCATCGCTTTGCTCATCTGAACTTCAACTTCCATTGGCCCTTGTTTCGTGCCCCCATCTCGGAACACCTGTCTGTCCACCTTATCTAACCCCCACAGTATCTGTTGTTTTTATTGTTCACCCCTGACCCCTTTCCCCCAGGTCGTGAGACCGATTTCCCTTAACCTTTCTTCATAGGACATTCCCCTTAGCTCTGGAACAAGCCTTGTTGCAAACCCTTGCACTTTCTCTGATTTTTGACATATTGACCAGGTGTGGGGTTAAAAGGTGCGCGTTTTCCAGTATGGCTGAGTACACGTGCTAGTCTCCAACGATCCTTACCGAGGTATTGGAACGCTATTCTTGGGTTTGCCAGGTGCCCATATGCCACAGCAGATATTAGGTTAATATGGGCTTCTGGTGACATGCTAGGTGTTATACTTGCCCCCCAGATCTTTCTCCTTGAGTGAGGTTTGCAGTCTTTGGCCGCCTAGCCTATACTCTGTCTTCAGTCTTCTTTGCCCTTCCCGCTCTTCATGACTTTGCATTTGTGTGTGTGTACGTATGTGTGTGTGTGTGTACTTGCCTAATTGTGGTTGCAGGAGTCGAGACTCAGCTCCTGGCTGTGTGTGTACGTGTGTGCGTGTACTCTCCTAATTGTGGTTGCAGGGATCAAGACTCAGCTCCTGGCCCCGCCTCTTCACTGATCGCTACTAGGTCCTCTCCCTCTCTGCTTCCTGAGCTTTGTCATGCCTCTTCTTAAAACTATGTATGGTTCCTGCCTCCACTACTTGCTAGGCTATTCCACTTCCTGACTACTTTCTGAAGAAATACTTCCTAACGTCCCTGTGACTCGTCTGAGTCTTCAGCTTCCAATTGTGACCCCTTGTTTCTGTGTCCCCTCTCTGGAACATCCCGTCTGTCCACCTTGTCTATTCCCCGCAGTATCTTGTATGTCGTTATCGTGTCTCCCCTGACCCTTCTGTCCTCCAGTGTCGTCAGTCCAATTTCCCTCAACCTTTCCTCGTATGACATTCCCCTGAGCTCTGGAACTAGCCTTGTTGCAAACCTTTGTACTTTCTCTAACTTCTTGACGTGCTTGACCAGGTGTGGGTTCCAGACTGGTGCTGCATACTCCAGTATCAGCCTAACATACACAGTGTACAGTGTCTTGAACGATTCCTTATTAAGTTATCGGAATGCTGTTCTCAGGTTTGCCAGGTGCCTGTATGCTGCAGCAGTTATTTTGTTGATGTGTGCCTCCGGTGACGTGCTTGGTGTTATGGTCACCCCAAGATCTTTCTCCCTGAGTGAGGTCTGTAGTCTTTGTCCACCTAGCCTATACTCTCTGTGGTCTTCTTTGCCCCTCCCCAGTCTTCATGACTTTGCATTTGGCAGGGTTGAATTCGAGAAGCCAGTTTCTGGACCACATGTCCACCTGTCCAGGTCTCTTTGCAGTCCTGCCTCATCTTCATCCGATTTAATTCTTCTCATCAGCTTCACATCATCTGTGAATAGAGACACTTCAGAGTCTCTTCCTTCCATCATGTCGTTCGCATATATCAAAAATAGCACTGGTCCTAGAACTGACCCCTGTGGGACCCCGCTCGTCACAGGCACCCACTGTGATACCTCTTCATGTACCATGACTCGTTGTTGCCTCCCTGTCAGATATTCCCTGATCGTGCAGGAGTAGACTTAGGGATCACCTTCTCTGCCAGGCAATCTTGTAGGAAGTTGTCTGTTGCGATAGCTGTGAGCACGAAGAAGGGTGTCCAAATAACGTCTGCATGAAATGTCCATTATGTTGCGGTGTCCGACAGATTGTAATAAAGTTGGTAGAATTACCGACAATATGTAAAGTAAAAGGACAAGTGCAACTGATGTGACATTGTGGCAACATTTCGCTCTCCAGGAGCTTTATCAAGCCATTACAAACAATACATGGATACAGAGGGTATATAAAGGCTCAGAGTGAGGTGCAATACTAGTGAGGTACCATTTCGATGTTCACTAGTGGTAGTAGTAGTAGTGGTAGTGAACATCGAAATGGTACCTCACTAGTATTGCACCTCACTCTGAGCCTTTATATACCCTCTGTATCCATGTATTGTTTGTAATGGCTTGATAAAGCTCCTGGAGAGCGAAATGTTGCCACAATGTCACATCAGTTGCACTTGTCCTTTTACTTTACATATTGTCGGTAATTCTACCAACTTTATTACAATCTGTCGGACACAGCAACATAATGGACATTTCATGCAGATGTTTTTGGACACCTTCTCGTGTCACGCTATCGCAACGACACAATTTCCCTAAAAGGGATTGCCTGGCAGAGGGAAGGTGATCCTAAGTTCTCCTCCCAAAACTCTCAAAATCCAAGCACCCCCCTTCTTTTCCTGATCCATTCAGTGCCTCCCTGTTATAGAAATGATCCCCAGCTTCTGCACTATCTCTTGTGAGAACTGTGTCAGGGCCTTCTGCAGTCCAGGAAATATGCAATCAACCACCATCTTCTGGTGGTCTAACTTCTGTTACCGTGTCATAAAATTCAGAAGGTTGTGCACAGATTTCTTCATGATCCTGCTGGTTTCATTAATCTTGTTCCATTCCGGTGTTCCACCACTTCTGATAATCTTTCCATGACTTTGATACTATCATGTCAGTGACACGGTCTGTAGTTTAGTGCCTCGTTCTGCTACTTCTTAATAGGGGACAAGTTGCCGTCTTCCATATCTTGGGTAGTTGTCCAGTTTCAAGGGAGTGTTTGAAGACTGTGTTAGGGCGCAACAGCATTCTGTCCTTCTCTAAGGACCCCGGGGAGAAGTTGTCGGTCTCATCGCCTTTGGGTAGCAAGGTCACTAGTGTACGTGTGTGTACGTGTGTAGTGTGTGTACGTGTGTGTAGGTTCGTGTGTGTAAGTGTGGTACGTGTGTGTACGTGTGTGTGTACGTGTGTGTGTACGTGTGTGAGACGTGTGTGTACGTGTGTGTGTACGTGTGTGTGTACGTGTGTGTGTACGTGTGTGTGTACGTGTGGTGTACGTGTGTGTACGTTACGTGTGTGTGTACGTGTGTGTACGTTGTGTGTACGTGTGTGTGTACGTGTGTGTACGTGTGTGTGTACGTGTGTGTTACGGTGTGTACGTGTGTGTGTACGTGTGTGTGTACGTGTGTGTGTGTACGTGTGTGTGTACGTGTGTGTGTACGTGTGTGTGTTACGTTGTGTGTACGGTGTGTGTACGTGTGTGTGTACGTGTGTACGTGTGTACGTGTGTGTGTACGTGTGTGTACGTGTGTACGTTGTGTGTACGTGTGTGTCGTGTGTATGTTGTGTAGTGTGTGTACGTGTGTACGTGTGTGTACGTTGTTGTGTGTTGTGTACGTGTGTACGTGTGTACGTGTGTGTGTAGTGTGTACGTGTGTGTACGTGTGTGTGTGTACGTGTGTGTGTGTACGTGTGTGTGTGTACGTGTGTGTGTGTGTAGTGTGTGTGTGTAGTGTGTGTGTGTACGTGTGTGTGTGTGTACGTGTGTGTGTTGTACGTGTGTGTGTGTGTGTGTGTGTGTACGTGTGTGTGTGTACGGTGTGTGTGTGTGTACGTGTGTGTGGTACGTGTGTGTGTGTACGTGTGTGTGTGTACGTGTGTGTGTGTACTTGTGTGTGTGTACGTGTGTGTGTACGTGTGTGTGTACGTGTGTGTGTGTACGTGTGTGTACGTGTGTGTGTACGTGTATGTGTGTGTGTGTGTACACGTGTGAACGTGTACTCGCCTTTTTGTGGTTGCAGGGGCCGAGTCATAGCTCCTGGCCCCACCTCTTCTCTGATTTCTACTAGATCCTCTCTCTCCCTGCTCCATGAGCTTTGTGAAACCTCATCTTAAAACTATGTATGATTCCTATATTAATGTTGGTAGAATTACCGACAATATGTAAAGAAAAAGACACAAGTGCAACTAATGTGGCATTTTATTGTGGCAACGTTTCGCTCTCCAGGAGCTTTATCAAGCTATTATGGCTTTTTCACCATAACGGCTTGATAAAGCTCCTGGAGAGTGAAACGTTGCCACAATAAAATGTCATATTAGTTGCACTTGTCTTCTTACTTTACATGTATGGTTCCTGCCCGCACTGTCACTTTCTAGGCTATTCCACTTCCTAACAACTCTGACTGAAGAAACACTTTCTAACATCCCTTTGACTTATAGGAGTGTGTGTAATGTGGATGTGTAGAGGTGTATGTGTGTGTGTATGTTTGTAGTAACAAATCACAGCTCGACTTGCGAAATCGTAATGACACCATGGGTTCTATCCCCGTCGTATAGTTTAGCAAATAACAATTTAGTTCTAGAAATTAACGTGTTGGTTCAGCTCTTGAGTTGTATCTGTTTTGAAACATTCAAGGAATACCCCTTGTTATGTTAAACAATTGTTCATGTTTGTGCAGAATGTGTGTACACAGTTACTCAATGTTCACTGATATATGTACAGTAGTGGAGTTTAATATCTTTATTATACACCCCATACCCATCCTGTGGGCAGTAGTCAAAAGAAGCACATAATGGGTCCAGGGACTGGACTGTGAAGTTTTGATACCTAAACAAGTTAGTGGTAAAGAACCATTACCATGTGTATATCTGGCTAGTTATAATAATTGATTATGCAGACATGAAAATATTAAAAAAAATATTAGTGTAACTTGTGGTTTTAAGTTATTTAGAGTACCTTATATTTTAAGGTGTGCTTGAATTTAAACAAGTTTAAGTGGTTTATGCATTACAGTAGGGCCCCACTTATACGGCGGGTTAGGTTCCAGGCTGTCGCCGGAAAGCAGACATCGCCAGAAGGCAGAATGCCATTTTTTTCCATTTATAAATGCATATAAATGCCAGACAGCAAGTTTACACTAAATTATATTAAGTTAGTAATAGAATTAGGCATTAAAAACACACAAAGTAAAATACATTCACAGTAAATTCATTACTTAAAGTATTTGTAATCTTAATGTAGGGAGAGAGGCAAGTAGTACTTATTTGTAGGAAGTCAGGTGCAGGTAGCCCAGGTGTAGGTAGCACTGGCTCCCCGTCTCATACTTAATATATGATATTTAAAACATCCCAGAGAGGTAAAATACACATACAGTACACTCATTATTTACCTTAAAATATGTGTAGTCTTAATATAGGAAGAGAGGTGAGTAGTATTTATTTGTAGGAAGTCAGTGTAGGTAGCCGGTAGGTGTAGCCCGCCTGGGCTACACCTACTGGTTACCTACACTGTGGGCCAGAGCCATATTATTAACATCGACATGCCTTGTTCACTAAATTTAATCATTTCTAACAACTACCTTTAGATGCCATCATAAACGAAGGTAGAAGTAATGAATAATTCATGACGAAAATTGTAAACAAAAACGGAGTGAGGGAGTGGCTGGGTCAAACGCAGATTCATACACGTTTTCTCTGATGGCTGAGCAGAGAAAATGTAATGTTGTCCCTCCGCCCGGCTACCACACAGGTCCACAAGTATTATTATCAGAGCACATATAAAATATGCAATAAATGCCAGACAACAAGTTTACACTAACTTATATTAAGTTAGCAATAGAATTAGGCATTAAAACACAATAAAAGGTAAGATACACACAGAGTACACTTATTACTTACCTTAAAATGTTAATATTAATGTGTGAGAGGTGAGTGGCAGGGTGTTTATTGAATAAAATCAGAATGGCACACCATCATCCTCTAACTTGGCACTTAAAGCAAGAGGCTTACGACTTCTCTTTTTATCACAGCTAACCTTAGATGCCATTGTCAATGAGAGATAACTAGTTAACGAAAGAGTAAACAAGAGAGAGAACGAGATACAGAGTTGAGACAGTGTAAGAACACAAACTGAACAGGTAGTGGGGGATGACTTGGTCAGGCGAAATAAATGTGTATTAATGTGTGTCTACTTTTAGTTCATTCACGTCCATTTGTAAGAGTTTGTAAAACATTTACCTCAATATTTTTTTTATTATAATAATAATTACCTCACAATACAAATACTCTTACATTGTGTACAAGTTAGTACAGAATAAACAAACAGCAACACACCATTTTTAGTGAATGAAGATACACCTACCATCCGACTTACGACGGAGTTCGGTTCCGAGAAACTGGTCGTAAGTCGAAATGGTCGTAAGTCTAACTTTAATACTGAATATCAACAAAACATTTTTGTAATGACTTTATTTTATTGTTTTATTTTGGTATTTCATGTTTTACTTTACTTTTTATGTTGTTAGTACTGTATTTTATACTGTAAGGTTTAGGATAAACACTGTGTACAACACAAATAGTTGTTTATTTCCCAGAAATTTGGCATAAAAAAGTCGTAAGTCGAGTGGTCGTAAGTCGGATGGTAGATGTATTATTATTATTATTATTATTAATATTAATAATAATATTATTAATAAAAAACACTAAACTCACAAGGGTCGTGAATTGCTATATATAGAGTAAAGGCATACGAAAAGAATATTTTTCTACAGTTATCCCCCAGTTTGACTAGAGAAAACAATTCTTCCGACACTACCTACACAGCTGCTATGTAAACAAATCTCATACAGGTCTCCCTCAACATTCACGTTTTCAGCTTTCGCGGGCTTCACACATTCGCGAATTCCCAACTGCCAAATTCCCAGCCACCAAGTCGCCAAATCATATTCAAGTTTCCTGCCACCTGCGAGTCCCTACTACCCTCCCACCGATCCTCGCAACTGGCAGCCAGCCCTCCCACCACTCAGTGTGGTGAGTGTTTTGTTTGTTCATTATTTGCTATTAAACTACAGTATAAATAATGTAAACCCATTCATGACTGCATATTGGAATGGCTATTCGGACAGGTATTAGACGGTGACGTCTTGTGTTTACTCTTGAACACAGCAAAGAATCAAACATTTCTGCTTCTGCTAATAATAACAATAGTAATAATAATAATAATAAAAATAATAATAATAAATACGATATTGAAGAAGGAAGTTGTACAAAAATACGAGGGAGTGGTTGACACATCGTCAGTGTGGCTTTGTTTATGCTGGAGTGAGCATTAGTCTCCCTGCTCTTCCAAACATTTCACAATAATTCATTGTGTTTGGTGCTTGTAGATTGAGCGGTAGAGGCAGCGGTAGAGGCAGCGGTAGAGGCAGCGGTAGAGGCAGCGGTAGAGGCAGCGGTAGAGGCAGCGGTAGAGGCAGCGGTAGAGGCAGCGGTAGAGGCAGCGGTAGAGGCAGCGGTAGAGGCAGCGGTAGAGGCAGCGGTAGAGGCAGCGGTAGAGGCAGCGGTAGAGAGGCAGCGGTAGAGGCAGCGGTAGGGCACGGTAGAGCAGCGTGGGTAGAGGCAGCGGTAGAGGCAGCGGTAGAGGCAGCGGTTGAGGCAGCGGTTGAGGCAGCGGGTGAGGCAGCGGGTGAGGCAGCTGTTGAGGCAGTGGTTGAGGCAGCTGTTGAGGCAGCGATTGAGGCAGTGGGTGAGGCAGCTGTTGAAGCGATTGAGGCAGCGGTTGAGGTAGAGGTTGAGGCAGTGGTATTTAATAACATACATGTTATTATTAATAATAATACATGTTATTAATAATATGTACTATTATTATTTATAACATATATGTTATTAAATGCCACTGCCTCAACTGCTGAATTATTGTGAAATGTTTGGAAGAGCAGGGAGACTAATGCTCACCCCAGCATAAACAAAGCCACACTGACGATGTGTCAACCACTCCCTCGTACAATTTCCTTCTTCAATTATATCGTATTATTATTATTATTATTATTATTATTATTATTAGTTATTATTGTTATTATTGTTATTGTTATTATTATTATTACTATTGTTATTATTAGCAGTAGCAGAAATGTTTGATTCTTTGCTGTGTTCAAGAGTAAACACATGATGTCACCGTCTAATACCTGTCTGAATAGCCATTCCAATATGCAGTCATGAATGGGTTTACATTATTTATACTGTAGTTTAATAGCAAATAATGAACAAACAAAACACTCGCCACACTGAGTGGTGGGAGGGCTGGCTGCCAGTTGCGGGGGTCGGAGGGAGGGTAGTAGGGACTCGCAGTGGTTGAGGAAGTGGTGGAGGCAGTGGTGGAGTCTGTGGTATTTAATAACATACATGTTATTAAAGCATAACATGTATATATTTAGTACAATTTACGACATTTTCATGTATTTTATGATTGTTCATGGTTCAACAAGTTAAGGAAGCAGTATTGTATTATATTTCCCTACAATATATTGGGGCACCAAACATTCACGGTTTTTCAACATTCGCGAGGCTCTTGATCCCCTAACCCTCGCGAATGTTGAGGGAGACCTGTATTTACATCACTTTTTATTCTGCGAGTGTATGTATCATGTTTATATGTTATGTAACAGGTTTCATATATAATTTTGAGGAAAATATCATAGATGGATTAATGAAAATGCCTATATTGATGTAAAATAAGACATTTAGTGTGCCCAAGAGTGATTATTATTATGTAGTATTGGCGTCATGAGTAGAGACACTTTGCGATTTTAATGTGTACCTGCACACCAGCACAGTGTGTAAGTATATTTAGGTACAGGTACACATAAGTATAATTATCAGAGTATATATAAAATATGCAGTAACTTTAAAACACTTGAAATTTTGGAAAGCTTCCTGACATAATATATGTGGTCACAGAAAATGTAAACAAACTGGGTGGGGGGCGCCGTATTTTAAAGACCGCTTGCCATATAGCAAATTTTGGTCATAATTTGACATCGCCGTATTAGCGGAACGCCGTAAGGCGAAACTCCGTAAAGCGGGGCCTTACTGTATTTGCAATTGGCAGAGTCAGAATACTTTCCCATATTGGTTGGTAATATGCCCCTGGATAAAAAAACACCATGAAATTTCTTGAATATTTATGAGTTCTGTGAATTCATTAATTTTATTGCATTCCAGCACATGCAAGGTTTGACAGTCATCCAACTGACAGTTTACATTTACTCATACCCACATCAGCTGACACAACCTCCCAAAGATACTTGTAACACAACTGGAGCCAGGCGGTAGTGACTTCAAAGAGTGTACTTATTTAATTGGATTCACTATAGACATGTGGCTCCTCCTGCATGATAGAATGATAGGTGGACTGACTGTTGTCAATCTCGTTCTGTCGTAAGTCATTGAAGTACAGTTGAAGTTCTTTTCGTATTCTCAGACTGCTAACTAACAGCCCATAATTGTGCAGTAAATTTTGATTTGCGGTGTGTACTCACTGAGTTATTGGCAGGGGTAGAGACCTAGCTTCTAGCCCCACTTCCTAGACTACTGCAATCAGATCATAAATTTCTGGCTTCTTAGGACTTAACAAATTAGTCATTTTGTCAGACTTTTTTGGGTTATCCTAGTTAATCTACACATGCTGCTATGTATGATAATTTTTATAACTGTCTCTGTGTACCTGTACCTAAATAAATTTACCTACTCTTGAATCTGTGTATTGAGTTTGCCTCCACTGCCTTGTCTAAGTCATTCTACTTTTCAGCCACTTTCGTACTACTATACATTCCTGTGGCTTCTTTGCTTTCAGCTTTTGCCCCTCTTTTTAATCCTTGTCTTCTAAATTCAAATGTCTATCTGTCCCAGTTAGGATGGTCATAATCATTCCTCCAAGATTGTCAAGTTTGTCTTCAGCCTATCCTCAGTTAATCTGTTTTGGTGCTAGCTTGGTAGCAAACCATTCCATCAGGAGAGGGCCTCTTGTTGCCGGTATATATATACGTACTCTCCTTGTTGGGGTTTATGTAACCACTAACGGCTTATGCCATGTGAAGTCCTACCTTCCAGTATCCAGAAAAGAAACCTTGACCAAATTGGAAGGAAGTTTACTAATAAGAACATAAAGAAGAAACACTGCAGCAGGCATACTGGCCCATGCGAGGCAGGTCCAAATCTCCTACCAGCTTAAGCCAATGCCCCAACCTAGTCAGGTCAGGTCACATTCACTTAAGGAAGGAGTACAACATCTGACCTAGTAGTACAAGCTAGTCAAGTCCAACTCGCACCCACCCGCACCCACTCATGCATTTATCTAACCTATCTGTAAAACTACACAACGTTTTAGCCTCAATAACTGTACTCGGGAGCTTGTTCCACTCATCCACAACTCTATTACCAAACCAGTGCTTTCCTATATCTTTCCTGAATCTGAATTTTTCCAACTTAAAGCCATTGCTGCGAGTCCCGTCTAGGCTAGATATTTTTAGCACACTGTTTACATTTCCTTTATTTATTCCTATCTTCTATTTATACACCTCAATCATATTCCCCCTAACTTTATGCCTTTCTAGAGAGTGCATATTCAGGGCCCACAGTCTATCTTCATAGGAAAGATTTCCGATGCATGGGATCAACTTGTTCATCCTCCTTTGTACATTTTCCAGAGCCTTTATATCCATTCTGTAATACGGTGACCAAAACTGTGCAGCATAATCTAGATGAAGCCTAACCAAGGATATATAGAGCTGAAGAACAACCTGAGTACTATTATTTATGCTTCTTGATATGAAGCCAAGGATTCTGTTCACTTTATTGCGAATACTTATGCACTGTTGTCTTGATTTTAGATTACTGCTAAGCAGAACTCCCAAATTCTTTTCGCAATCCGTAATATTAAGATCTACATTATTTAGTTTATATGTGGCATGGTTATTTACCTGTCCAATGTTTAGAACTTTGCATTTGTATATATTAAACTGCATCTGCCACTTCTCCGACCACTGCATCAGTCTATTCAAATCTTCCTGGAGTGCTCAAATGTCCTTGTCAGAATGAATTCAAAGGCCTATTTTGCTGTCATCGGCAAACTTGCTAATGTCGCTATTTATTTCCTCATCTATGTCGTTTATGTAGATTGTGAACAACAAGGGACCCAACACTGACCCCTGTGGAACTGCTCGTGATGCTTCCCCACTCTGATTTCTCCCCATTTATGCAAACTCTCCACTGCCTGTTCGTCAACCATGCCAATGGCAATATGTTCTGAGTCCCCCAATGCGCCCCGAGTGTGCCATTTGAAGGCAGTGCACATGAGCCGCCAGCTGTGAATGCCCTACCCAAAGGTGGGTCAGAGCAACATCGACTGAGAAAGATCAGACTGAGCTCAGTGCTGAAGAACAGTGGGACTGTGCCAAATGTGGCAGATTACCCACCAAACACCTTTTATGAAATCACTGTGGCCCAGTGCAAGGTGGGTAATGGTAGGGAGTGGGTTAGAGGAGAGGATGGCTACTCAATCAACAACTTCTTTCCCCCAAATACCAACATGAGCATTTGCCTGCAGTAGTACCCACTGAAGGGAAATGCTCCAACTTAGATTTAGCAAAAAGTGCAGAAGCTATGTCCACCAGACGAGGAAACAGAAACCGTGGATGGGCAGAAGACAAAAGTGCCTGGGAGGATTGGGAATCAGGGAGGAGAACCACACGCTGGTTCTGCTCAGTGAGTGACCTATCACACATTATATACATCCTCTCCTCACTTAATGACCGATTTCTGTTTCTAAGACCACATCAGTAAACGAATTTGTCACCGAGGAGAATACTATAATGGTAGTGGGTTTGTGTCAGCCATCTTTGATATTGTTTTAATGTTACCTTTGCACCATTTATAACACTTCTGGTATATTTTTTAATGTGTAAACAGTAGTGTACTGTATATTGTAATAAACAGTATAGAGGAAATCAGCTCTAATATACATTATTAACCCTTTGACTGTCGAAGGGCCAAATCCTGAAGTTGCTTCTGGTGTCGCAAAATATTCGAAAAAAAAAAAATTATTTTTTCTTATGAAAATGTTAAGATTATTTTTCTGATTGTTTTAGTCCCAAAAAAAAATTTTTCCCATCAGTACTTACCGAGATATAGAGTCCTGAAGTTTGCTGAAATTGATCTGCTGGCGGCAACAGCGGCGACTGCCGCTCACCCGGTAAATTTATTTACTTGTTTCGATGGTTTCTTGTTTTTTTCACTTTTATTTTTCACATAACTTTTTGGCCTGTGAGACCAAATTATTGTGCAATGTTCAAATATTTCACCGTTGAAAGTTCACAATTTATAACAAAAAACACTCGTATCTATAATGTTGCCTAAAACTTGTTTACACAAACAAACAATGTTAAATAAATGTTTATTACGATTGCTTTATAATATATAACATATGGGCAATCACTGGACACTTTATTAGAAGTGCTGCAGCTTGTGGAATTTTTGAAACATGGGTATAAGCACATGGTGTCTTAC